TTCCTCCTGCCGTTACCATGTTGCCTGCTGACAGGAAGCAGGAAGCGCTGCCCAAGGCTGCAGGTGCGGGGAGTCAGCTCCGCTTTGCAGCTTTATCCACCCCACAGAGAAAAATCTTTTGAACCTTATTTAGGAATCAGTCACTGCAAATTAAACAGGTGTACTCAAAAATACACCTTTTGAGGGGATTTATCAATCTGTTTTGGAGACAGCCAACAAATTTCTGGTAATGGAGAGCTTGTCTGGAATTTCTTCTTCTTGATAGATCCTTCTTTTTCTTCTTGATATATTTAGTATTATAACCATTAATTACATGTTTTCCATTAGCTCCCTTCCCTATGTGTCATGTACTCCAGCAAATACTCTTAAGAGGATGTCTGTCTCTGAGAGCGGGAGAGAGTCTGTACTATGCATATCTTTATGTCTGTATATGTCTCCATATCTGTATATATGTCTATATCTATTTGGTTTCCTGACATGAAGGCATGGCAAGCCCTGTGTGTGATACTAGATTTTTAATCTCTTGCCAGCTTCACGGTTACATGGAGAACAAACCCTTGGGTCTTCAGATCTTCATTGGGACAGCAGACGAACGGATACTTAAACCTCACGCTTTCTATCAAGTCCATCGCATTACAGGAAAAACTGTCACCACCACCAGCTATGAAAAAATCATTGGCAACACCAAAGTTTTAGAGATCCCATTGGAACCCAAAAACAACATGAAAGCAACGTAAGCATATTTCTTTTTATTAGCAAAGTTGAGGAGGATTAAATTGTCATGTGACGTTCTTTCTCCTTGGGAAAGGAGTCACTTAAATGAATAATGATGCCTGCTCTGGAGGGAGTCCCTTTTCCGAAGCATCGGGATGATATACGAGTGTGAGACCCTTTTTACAAAAGCATGAGCAGCAGTTACAAGCACCTGGGTTAAAGCTGCTTAAAGAGTTACCATTCATCAGCTGACCACGCAGGCATTTTTGCTCTTTACCCCAATTGCTGCGGTGACTATATTGTAATCATCTGTCATCTTCAAAGTCAGTTTTGTAGGGCACTAAGGAAAACGAGACTCGAATCTCAAGTCCTTATGCTGCAGGGATGCAATGAGAAGCAAGGAGCAGCAGACAGCAGAGGAAAGGTGTACTGTTCATTTTACAACATTTAATGGAATAGAAAACATCTCTCCTCAACTCAGCCAAGTGCTCTGGCCATGAAATCGCACTCTCTTGTTGTAATAGGTTAACAGAAAAGCAAGTACAGACACATCTTTTCTGTATTACTCCTTCCAGTTTTATGGAGGCAGAGGGATGAAGTGGGCACCAGTCTGAAACTTCAGGCTTGAATGTGTGCCAGGCAGCATGAGAGTGATTGCTCTGCAGAGGCAAGAGCTGTATCTCCATCCTTCAGAGGATACTGACAAAATTGGAAGAGCAGCTATGTTTTTAAGCCCCCCTGCTTCATCGCAAAATCCACATTCTTTCTTTATATATCTTTCTTCAGAAAATATACCTCATTCCTCCCTTTCCTTCAAGCCTCTCCTTCCCTCTGCACCCAAGGAGATAAATAAAAGTCCGCATCTTAAACTTAAGCAGCCAAGTGCTGAATGGAACATGACTGTCTGTTCCTAATGAGTAACCCTGGAGTAATAAACCCCTGCACACATGCAGGGGCAAGGAACAGTGTGGGTGTAGGAAACAGCTTGGGGTTTATGCCTCCCAAAATGTGATTTTAATTCATATCAAAAGAAGAAAAATGGTATGTCTTTAAAACTGATATCAAAATGGGTTGGCAGTGCCTCTCTAATATCAGTGCACCCTCCAAGGACTGCTGCTGAGCTGAACATCTCAGATTCTGTAAATATTAATTGGCACATTCTCTTAATGTAGACAGGCATGTTTGCTAGGTTACACTGGACTCTTAAGAAGTTAACCTGCACTTACAGCAATATTAAGTTGCAATGCTGGTTTAAGTCTGAACCCCATCCTGCTCCCTACGTCCTCCCTTTGTGCAGGGACAGGGTGAATGGGAGCAGAGGACCATTCTCTGCACTGCCAGGCTATTGCCTTGGCTGGGAACAACATCCCAGGGCTTTGGAGGATGGCACGGTGACCTGGGCCAGGGCTGGAGAGCCCAGGAGCAGAAGCACCTACCTTGTCCAAAAGGAGGGGAGAGCAGTTTGGTTCTTGCTTTGGAGTTGAATTCAACGCTTGCCTGTACAAACCATGGGGAAAACGTGCCTGGCTGGTGCTGGCAATTAGCTGGTTCAACTGCTGTGGTTCCCCGTGGAGCTGAACGAATTTGCCCACGTGCAGGCCATAGCTGCTGTGCAGTCTCTGGGCACTGAGCTGTTTGGAGAGCTGGTGGTGGAGGCTTTAATGCTTCCTAGCTTGTGGAGGGCTCTGGCCCAGGCTCAGCTCATTGCCTGCCCCCGTGTGCACTTTATGTTCTGGTTCTGGTTCACTCTCCCTGTCCCGGGGGGCCAGGGCGGGTGCTGCCATGTGCACTCTTGTGCTTAGCACAGGAGGGAAATAAGACTCAGGGTTACAGTGTTTGGAGAGTGGCTTCAGCTGTCCGCAGAGTAAAGGCCACCCTAGCTGTCGGCTGGGACGTGCCTGGGACACGCTGAGCCGCCAGGCCCAGACTCTTCAGGGAGGGGTCCAGCAGCATCCCTCGCTCGCTGCGTGTCTGGGATTGCTTCCCCTGTAACTGCTGAAATGGCAATATCTGGTTCCTAAGCAGAACAAGTATTTGGAGCTGCTCTTAACCCGGAGAGCGAAGAAAAACAGCTTAATTCTCCTGCCTGTCACCTATTTCCAAACTGCTCAAGAGCAGAAATGTTAAGCTAAATGGCATGTGTGTTTGGCAGCATTGACTGCGCGGGGATTTTGAAGCTGAGGAACGCAGACATCGAGCTGCGCAAGGGAGAGACGGACATTGGCAGGAAGAATACGCGTGTCCGGCTCGTCTTCCGCGTGCACATCCCTGAGTCCAACGGCAGGATCATTTCTCTGCAAGCAGCATCAAACCCCATCGAATGCTGTAAGTATCCGAGATTTGCTCCTTTTCCATCTCTTGCAACAATGATCGTCTTGTCCCTCTGCTCCAGGCTAGCACTGAGGGGATAAAACCCGATGTGCTCGCGTAGGCAAACGCAAGGTGCTCTGCTCTTCCTGCGCTGGCTGGGTTTGTGCCACCATTTGAGTGACCTGCGGCTCTTACCTATATGCATTCCCTTCCCGAAACAAGCTTTGGCAGCAGGTGGCTCTTCACGACGCTTAGAGCTTCTGAGGACAGCAAGGGACTTCGGGGCTTTTGCAAATTTTATTTATTAGTGTGTTGCTTCTGGATCTTTCTGGCTAGCAGGTCTTTTCTGGGAGCAGGGAGCCAGTGTGGGTGTGCGTATAGGGGCGTATATACATTCTCCCTGTTTGTGCATGACCACGCAAACTGCCTGCCTTCCTGGGAGCGGTTTTAGTTTGAGTGGAGGCACAACCAGAACTTGTTATCCACAAGTTGGCAGGTGATTGGAGGTTTTGAATTCAAACCTGGGCCAGAACCTAGCTCTGTGGCCAGTCCTGTCTGCTGAAGGAGTGACTGCAGTCCTCTTGATCTGAGCTGTGGCAGGAACACAACTGAAATGGAGAAACAGGTTTGATTTTGAGGCTCGGGTGCATCCTCGTTATTGTTTTTTCTAGATGTCGATGCTAAGGGTGTGCAGCTTAGGAGGCTGTAGCTGAAGCAGGGAAAGACCAGGCTGTTCTGGTATTCCCCTGAGGGACAGAAGAAAACTTGCAGTTTTGCTTTCTGGGGGGCAAATCCTACAAGCGTGTAAGCTGAGAAACCTGCACCTCCCACTCATAGTAACGTACTGGATCCTGAGAAAGAGAGGCCTCTGATGAGGTACCCCCGTGTCACAGTCATTTCTGGAAGGGCTCCACCCACTTTGCTGGTTCATGTGCATCCTGTGATGCTTTTTGTTGGTAAATGGTGCCTTTTCAGCACTTTGGGGATTTCACAAATACATAATGAACAGTTTTCCTCTCCCTTTGCTGAATGACTCACCCCTTTAGCAGAACCTGCCTTGCCATAAGTCATGTGAAGAAAGTCATTGAAGAGTTTCTCATGTGTGAGTTTTATTTATTGAGATGCAGGCTTTACTTAAATAACAACTACTTAGAATAAAAGAGGAGCCAATTTTGGATGGGAAATCAAGAGAAATTGTGACTAGTGAATAATTGATGGCAGCTTTTTAAAAAACAGTAGAAATGAATAAACAAGGCAAGGCTAAGGAGAGGATGATGGGTACGTACGATCTCTTGGCAATGTTTATGAGAAGATACCAACTATCAGAGCATTTTAGCAGCTGAGCGAAGTCTCCGGGCACCGCGATGGGGAAGGGAGAATAGTGGGAGTAGCCACCACCTTTCTCCATAGGAAATGGTTACCATCCTTTATAGGACCAGATGGCTGAAACAATAGTGGCCTCCACCCCAAACGTGTCCCTGCTGAAACAAAGGCTCATTTGCTAAAGGAAATGTTCAGCAAACTGCAGCTTCTGTGGATAGGAAGGGAATTGCAGCAAAGGATCACCTGGCTTCTCCCTCAATTTCTCTTCCGAGTGGAAACAGCCCATTCCTGCGGGCAGTGGGGAGCTACTCGGGTGGGAAACTCCAGGTGTAACTCCTACATCCACCGTACAGAAAAACAGCATGAGCCCGGAGCAGAGGGTGGATGGTCCCCGGGTCATGCAGGGAGCCTGCAGATCACACCCCACTTATGCAAATTCTCCTACACGAGAAGCAAATATCAGTTAGCCAGGCATTTCTAAGACCCTTCCACAATTGCACATTGTATTTGTGCCCATCACCAAAGAGCGTTCAAGCAGAAATCCGGTCACGGTTTACAGAATAAGATCACGTTTTTCTGAACTGTATGTGCACACCTAATTTGCCTGTGCAATGACTGCTATTTGCAATGGCTTGTTTAAGATGTCTAGGCATTTATTCTGAGATGTATTCGTTTTGATGCGTCTTAGGGGCATAAAAAAAGCTAAGCGTGGAGATACCAGTATAAGTGGCTTATTTTTATGTTTTTTATAATTAAGGTATGAAAATGTTGGCTGCATAGCAGACAGCAATGCTCCTACAAGAAAAAATGTATTTGTTCCCCAAGAAAAAAAAAAGTTTTATTTTTGGAATACTGGACATACTGGCAATTGGGAGAGATATGTTAAAGATTGTGCTTTTCTGAATTAATGGCAGCAGAGTGTAACGTGATCTGGAGTAATAAGCCTCTGCCATTTAGAACGTGTGTTGCATGTTTAGCAACATTTTTGCATTTCAGTAGCACTTCCTGATCTCAGCCCAGTTCTGGGAAGATGGCTAAAAACATTAGTTCGTTCAGTCAGTGTTAGTAATGCAGGCTAAATCACACTAGAGATGATAATCTCTGTTTCTCCCAGCCAATCTGCACATGTTGCAGAGCTCATGGTCGCAGGTAGGCTCAGGTGCCCTGCCGAGAAGGGGCACGCTGGGTCTCTGTGACATTTTCTCCTTGTATCCCACCTTCCGCCTTTGTGTGCTGCTGGGATTCTCTTTTTTTTTTTTTTTTCCTTTGTTTGCTTTTCATTTTTTTGACATGGCCTCCTGGGAACCCTTCTCTTCAGGGACTCTCCCGTAAGATCTCTCCTGTCTGGTAGCTGTGAATAATATCCCACCGGGAAACCCGTAGTAAGTAGCAGCTTTAAGATAACTGGCCATTTCCCTACCAGTGGGGCTCCCCCGAGAGCACTGTTGCTACCATCAGAGTATCTGAGTGCTCTCCTCAGCAGAAGCCGATCCTGGCTAAAAATTCCCACCGGTGTCAGCAGATCATTAGCTGCAATGAAGCAAGAACTGTGAAGTATCTGCTTTTCATGGGGCGATTCAGTTCCACCTCGTCTGTGTCACATTCAGCACTTGACAGGTTTTAGGAGGGGATTTCACAGGTTCAAAGCATCATCCGGAGCAAGTTCTTCCCCAGGCAGCTGTGTGGGAGGACCAAGGAGGTGATATGTTGTTCAATGATCAGTTATGCCTTAAAATGGACCTCATATCCAGACAAGCCTGCACATTCAGCAGCTTGCAGCTTTTTTCTCCTGTTGCCTGTTGATTCGTTCTGAAGCCACTGAGGAGGCAAAGGCATTTGAAAGCCCTCTGATAATTGCAGCAACAGGCCATCACTTAGTTAGGGATCAAAAGCCACTGTCTTGTAGGTGTGGTGCTGGAAAGGTGAGAAAAATCCCTTCTCCTGGGTGTTGCTCCATGCTGAGTCTGTGAAATGGCAGCAAGCCCCACAGGCGCTCCATGAGATATAGCCGGGATCCGCAGCCGATGGGTCCACGCAGCGGCATGCTGCTTGGCCCGGCTCCCTGCCTGCGCACCTCTGCACGCCTCGGCGCTGCTAGTCGTGCTGCAGTTGTGCATGCCCGAATGCCCATCCCTGCTTGTGCAGGGCTGCGCTTTAGGCACAGGCGTGAAGCAGCTCGTGTCGGGGAGCTCTGGCTGGGCCAGGCAGGGCTGTCACAGCAGGTGGTGAAATAGCAGGCGTGAAGGATTACTGAGTTCACTTGTCCCTTCAAATACAGCCCTGATAACAGCAAGCCACTCGGGGAATCACCCATGGAGGGCTTTGGTATTTGCAGACCTGATAATTATTTTCAAACCTTTAAGGCAATTTGTGTAACGTTAGTTCTAGTCGTTTGCTTTGATTTACCTTTCACTATGAGCTGAAACTCATTTCTTGGTGAGTGATTGACCTCTGGAGTTGTGTTTCTGCTCCTCAGCTGAAGCATCCATGGAGCAGAGAAGGAGCGGCATGGAAGGGAGTTCTGAGTAGCCACATAAGCACCTGCGAGGCAGCTTGTTTTACTCCATGGTGTCAGCAACCAAAAACTGCTTTATGCAAGTGTCTGCAAGATGTGAGTGTAAGGCTTAGGAGTATCATCCACGCTGTGTCACAGTTTTTATTCTAATGGATTCTGGTTAAACCTTCCCAAAGTGTCTCATGGTTCTTGTTTCATATAATCCATGTTTGCTGATACTAAGCTGTGCTCATGAATCCCTTAAAATGCAAATGATTGCAATTGGCACGAGAGGAGGAGTCTAAAATCTTGTTCTTATAATAGATATTCCGAGGTGGTAAAAAACAAAACAAACAAAACTTATTACTAAAGAACTGTGTGTCCATCTGAGGAATTTAAATTAGTTTCTATTACTGACCGTATTTTGTTCCACTAAATTGGGTCAAATATCTTATTTCCCTTTAACCAATTTCCCTGGAAGTTTCCTTTATTTTTCTCTCCTTCTAGTAGGTTTTCCCATAATATTAGACAATCTGAGCCTATGATATGTGACACATTAATAACTACAGAGGAAAGAGCTAGTCATGTAAAAGAATGTTGTCTTGGCAAACCAGCGAGTGCTTTTCCTCGGCCGGGAGCTGTGCTGGTTGGAATACAATGGCAGGCAAGAAGGAGCCCTAGTTTGTTGAGACAAAAAAGCAGAAACAAATGGTCTCTTTGCACTTGGGAGATACCCATTTGCAAGTTTAACCATAACTATGATTATTATGAGAGTAGCAGTTGAATTAAAGGAATTTTTCCCCCCTTTCATTTCAACTTCAAGACAGTCACATAGTTTGCCATAAAAACAGCTGACACAAAACCTGGTGCTTTTTCTAAAGTAAATGTTTTCTCTCTCCTAAAGCACAGAATTTAAAAGTTAATTCCGACAACATTTGTCACTTTTAATGTGCAACCAAAAGATTTCAGTCTGGAAAGTCTGAGTCAGACAGAAGGAAGATGCCTGCCCTTTTTGCAGGCTGCAAGCCTCGCTATGAGGATGAACTCCTGTTTACTTTTTGTCTTTGCAATACTGCTGTTGGTAAAGGCAAGCGCCCCAGTGTATTACACAGAGCATGGATTTCTGAGCATAATTTAAGCTCAGCAGATCTCCTCCACAAGGGATTAAAGGGAAATGCTGTGCATACCCGCAGAGATG